CTCCCCTTCTTAAAGGTAGCACCAACCTTACCATCACCATACTGAGCACCAAAGGGGCACACTGAAACCACGTCCAAACTATAACAGAAAGGACTCTGGAAAAAGAACTCAGTGTGAGATGCAAGTCTGTGACAAACCCTTCAACAACTTCCTCTGTGCTTGAGATCAAGTTCAGAATCCTCAGCCTGGCTTTGGGAGCCTACATGCCCACTTCCCCGATCTCACCCCGAGCCCACTCCTTCTAGGTTGTTTTCTCAGTTCTTTGAATGTGAAATTTTTTTCTCTGAAACATGGGCATCACTCTCCATTACTCAGGTCTCAGCTCCAATCTCCTCACCAACAGGGACTTTCTCACTAAATTTACTTCAGTCCGTTTTCTTGATAGTGAGGTAGATTCTGTTTTAGCTGAGGATGTATGACTCCCAGGGCATTTTCACCCTCCCTAGCAACCACCATCTTTCTTTTAAATAGGTATTATTTGGGGTGGGTGTTCGGCTCAGCAGATAAGATACCACTTGGGATGCCCATATCAGAGTTCACATTTAAACTCCTCTTCGGATCCAGCTTTCTGCCATTGTGCACCAAAAGCAGATGATGACTTAAGTCCCTGTTTCCCTGCCACCCATGTTGCAGATCTGGAATGAGTTCTTGGTTCGTGGCTCCAGCCTGGCCCAACCCTGGCAGTTGTGAACATCTGGGGAGTGAACCAGTATATAGAAGGCTTCCCACCCTGTTTCCCACAATCTGCCTCTCTGCCTTTCAAACAAAATGAAAATAAAAGATTTTTAAATAATAGACTTCCCTTCATTGTTTGAAGCAGTTTTAGGTTCATAGAAAAACTGACTGAAAAATATAGAGTTCCTACATAGCCCTTATTCATCACAAGCACAGCCACCTCCACTATCGACCTCCTGCAACAAATGGTACACTTCTTGCAAGTCAAAGGTCCTACATTGACATATCACTGTCACCTAACGTCATAGTTTACATTGAGGTTCACTCTTGGTGTGGTACAGTCTATGGGTGATACATACTGACACAAACTCACCATTACAGTATTATACAGAAGAGTCTCACTGCCCTAAAAATCCTCCAAGCTCTGTCTGTTCCATCCTCTTTCTCAAACTCCTGTTAATTACTGATCTTTTTACTTTCTCCATGGTTTCATCTACAGGAATGCCATATAGTTGGAATCATATGCTATGTGACCCTTTCAAAAAATGGACTTTTTACATTGATTCATATGCATATGGGGTTCCTCTATGTCTTTTGATGGATTAATAGCTCATTTCTTTTTAGTCTGAATGATACTCCATTGTCTGGATCCATTTACCTATTGAAGAACATCTCAATGGCTTCCAAGTGTAAAAATTGTGAATAAACCTGTTAGAAATGTCTGTGTGCAGGATTTTTATGGACATAAATCTACAGCTGAATCAGAAATAAAAAGTAGGATTGTTGCATTGTATATTTGAGTCTTGTATGGGTATGTTTGGTCTCTTAAGAAAAGACTGCCAAGGGGCTGCTGCTATGGCATAGTGGCTAAAGCCACCATCTGCAGTGCCGGCATTCCATATGGGTGCCGGTTTGAGTCGCTGAGGCTCTTCTTCCTATCTGGCTCTCTGCTATGGCCTGGGAAAGCAGTAGAAGATGGCCCAAGTCCTTGGGCCCCTGCACCCACATGGGAGACCTAGAAGAAGCTCTTGGCTCCGGATCAGTGCAGCTCCAGCCGTTGCAGCCATCTGGGGAGTGAACCAGTGGATGGAAGACCTCTCTTTCTGTGTGAACTCTGACAAGGAAGGAAGGGAGGAAGAGAGGGAGGGAGGACTGCCAAACTGTCTTCCAAAGTGGCTGTCCCATTCCCCAGCCCTGTGAAGGCACAGCCTGGGAGGCAGGGCCAGGATGCAGCACTGACTTCTTAGGCAGAGGTGTTTTCTAATTCCTGGTGCCTAGGGGTCTTGAGATTACATTGCTATGCATACAGGCAAGGTGAACTATGGCAATGAAAATGTAGTACAGGGCAAATTCCTCTGTTTCCGGCTCATTTAACCAAATGTGCCTGAGCTAAGTCTGTGTCTGGACTGAGGCAACTCAGACTGTATTCAACTCTCCTAGGGCTGCTTTAGTACACAGCAGTCCCAGTACAGTCTGCGCATGGAAGACCAGGAAACCCTGGCTTCTCCTTCTTCCTGGAAAAGCCCCCCAACCCTCACACTGCCCTGAGTGTCTCTCTCCTCTTGCTCACTCCTCCCTGACAGACCCCTGGGCATCCTGCTTCATTCAGTGGGCATGTTCCCCGCAACCAGCGATTCCTTGTCCCTCACCACCTTAACGTCCACCCCTCAAGGCTCAGTTTCCTGACCTTCACATCTCTAACAACTTTCTCTTCCACCATCTTCAAGCCACCCATGCCTGTAATAACCCTCAGAAATCTCAGCTTCAAACAACTCATTCGTTCAATACCACAGCTTTTTAAAAATTCACTCACCACATGTCTGCAGGACTTCGCATCCCTTGTTTCTTGCTCTTTCTCAGCCCATCAGTCTCTCTGTTTTTCCGCCATTTCTTTCACTGAACCCCCGGGCCCACCTTCCCCTCCTACCTTTGCACTTTCTCTTGTTGTTTACTCCTCCCCCGTACCCGTCAGTCACGACTGAAGCCCACTCTGCCTTTTCTGTGCCTACCCTGAGCAACTCCAGCTGCTGATCAACGATCACGGACTAGGCTGACTGGTTTCAATGAAAGCTATGATCTTCAACTGCCCGGGAACACGCTCCTGACACACCTGCTGTGCTTTCCTTTCGAACACTCCGGATTTCTGAAATGACATTTCATACCTTCTCTTGTCTTCAATCCTCCCACCCTCTCTTCCCCTGAATCCTGGCTAATGAGGCAACCTCAAATTCTGTGAGGTATCCAAGCAGAAGTGAGAGAAAGATTCTCTCTTCTCCTCACACCATCTAGAGACATTCTAAATCTGCACCTGGCTTCTGCTCCCTTCCTATTTTAAGGAGTAAGCCTCTCTCCTCTAACAATAGCATTCCCTCCTTGGGCTCTGCATGGGCTCACCTATCTTAGGGGCTCATTCTGATTGCTATCCACTCCATCTGCATCATCAGTCTCTCCTTCTCCACCATACCCTTCCTTTTTTTTTTTATTTTTTGAGGGGAATCGAATAGTATATTTCACAAGAAATAACACATAAAATAACACCCTAGAAATTACATTGTGCTCCTTTTCAGTCAGTCTCCACCCCATTGGCAGCCGTTGTTCTGATTTTTATCACCATAGGTAATTGTTTTCCCGATTTTGTGCACCATAACAATAGAATCTTGCAGCATGCATTCTTTGGTATCTGGCTTCTTTTGTTCTAACATGTGATGTTGTTTAGATTAATCTATGGTGTTATATGTATCAGCATATCAATAGTTCCTTAAATTTATTTGAGAGAGAAAAATACCTTCTGGTTCACTTTCCTAATGTCTGCAATGGCAGGACCAGTGGGGCTGGAGCTGGAACTCACATGTGAGAGGCTGGGACCCAGTAATGGCACCATCACTGCCGCCTCCTTGGGTCTGCATTGGAAGGGGGCTGGAATCAGGAGTGGATCTGGGTATCAAAGCCAGGTACTCTCATATGGGATGCAAGTGTCTTAACTGTAAGCCAAATACCCAGCACTATATCAGTAATTTTCCCTGCTGAGTAATAGTATGCTCTGTCGATGCACCACAGTCTGTTCACCCATTCTTCTGCTGGTGGAGATTTGCGCTGTTTCTAGTTTGGACCACTATCAATAAGTCTGCTCTGGACATTCTTATACAAGGCTTTCTTTGTTAAGGTTATTTTCATTTTAATTTGGAATCTGCGGCCCTATGATGGGTAAATGTTTAAATTTATAGGGAACTAGCAAGCATTTGTAGCTGTTTGCATTCTCATAAAAGCAATGTAAAGGGGGCCAGCACCGTGGCTCACTTCGCACTGGCATCCCATATGGGCATCGGGTTCTAGTCCCAGTTGCTCCTCCTCCAGTCCAGCTCTCTGCTGTGGCCTAATAAGGCAGTGGAGGATGGCCCAAGTGCTTGGGCGCCTGCACCCGTGTGGGAGACCAGGAAGAAGCACCTGGCTCCTGGCTTTGGATCAGCATAGCTCTGGCTGTAGCGGCCATTTAGGGGGTGAACCAATGGAAGGAGGACATTTCTCTCTGTCTCTCTCACTATCTAACTCTCTGTCAAAAAAAAAAAAAAAAGGCAATGTAAGACCTTTTGGTTGCCTCACTTCCTCCACTAATTTAGGATTAATAGTCATTTTGATTTTAGTGATGCTAAAGGGGGTTTAGGACAGTGCTTGGCATAAAATTAGCCCCCAAAAGAGGTTGGCTATTATTACCAGAGTGAGTGCTCAAATACTTCGAATAAAGGACACTTGAGTTCCTTCTTTCCTGGAATCATGCCTCTCACTCTTCTTGTCCCAATCCTTCCAAATGCCACATAACAACCCTGAGTATTGACCATACATCTAGGTGCTATGCTTCAATAGGTATTCTCAAAGCTGTTAAACTATTGGCTTTATGAAGAAGACCTGGCAGAGATCTCACCGTCACCTGCTACTATACACAGCAAGGGCACAACAAATTGCACCTGTTCTGCTGCTTCTGCAGCTACCTAGAGTATAGCATTCTATCCTATTTTGGGGGTCCATCTCCACACCCCAGGAGTTAGGTTCCCTTGGGCCCCTGGGGGTCTCAAACTTTGCCTTCTGACAAAGGCCAGCATGTCCCCACCACCTGAACTGGGTGTCCACACTTGGGCACAGCTGCTTTGGGGGACGCTAGGAAGGAAATCGGGCTTGGCGGTGCACTAAGGAATAAAGGCCAGACACGCTCTAGGGGCCGAGCCAGGCACGTGCTGCGCTCCAGGTGGCAGCGCCCGCGGCGCAATCCTAGCTGTTCTGGAGCGCGCGGCTGAGGGATGCACTCTCTTCCGCAGCGCCTGCATCCCAAGTCCTCCTCCCGTTCAAGTGTTTTTCCCCGCCCCCTGCCCACGCTTAATTAATGATCTCCTCCAGGTCCCTTCGCACTGGACTCCTTCCTCGACCGCGCGGGCTGGGCTGGGCAGAGTGTGGCGGGAGCGCTGGGCTCAGCACTGCGCGCCCTGCGGCGATCCCCGGTGGTACGGCGGCCTGCGCGCGCGGCGCGGGAGGGTGCATGATGCCGGAGAACGGCTCCTTTGCCAATTGCTGCGAGCCCGGTGGGCGGCCCGTGCGCCCGGGCTGGTCGGGAGCTGGCAGCACACGACCCTCCGGGATCCCCCGCCCTCCCTGGGTGGCACCCACGTTGTCCACCGTGCTCATCGTCACCACCACGGTGGACGTCGTAGGCAACCTTCTGGTCATCCTCTCGGTACTCAGGAACCGCAAGCTCCGGAACGCAGGTGAGCGCCCACGCTGCGGGATCGGCCCTTCCCTGCCTTCTGGTCTGGACCTTGACCCCGTGACCCACCGCCTTTTGCTAGGGGGTCCTGAGCGCTGCTTCCCTTTCACTCCAACCTAGTTCCGAAGTTTGGCTCTGTGATCAAAAGTTAGGGTGAGTTCGGCCTTTTCTGATGTGGGGCGGTTCTGGCGCCAGCTGCTCGCAGCTACCTGGGACGCGCTTGGCACTTCAGCGTCCACGTGAATTGGGCCAAGTTTCTCCTGCGCGCTTTTTGGCAGGGGTGCTGGTGCTGTGGGATCTCCCAGTTGTGCCCTTCCAGATGGTGCCCACAGAAATTCCACGACCCTCGACACACCTCTCCCTTCCCTTCCCTGTGGCTTCACACAGTAGGTGCTTAGAAAATACTTGCTGAGAGATCGAGGGCAAGTATTCTTCCAGTGGGCATTGTGTCAGAAATTTAGACACAGGTCAGCTGGACACTTGTTCCCAAAGGAGAGGGCGTGCAGACAGAAATCTCAGGCTCTGCTTGGACTGAACGAACTTGCTTTGAGAATGTGGTCTTTTCTGAAGACAGGCAATTCGTGGCATTACTGTGAAAATTAAGTTTAGCTAAACCCCGTGGCAATCCTGAAAATGACACCCGCCTCCCCGGGTTTCTAATCCACTCTTATTTCAATTGCACCATAGACAGGTTTGCAAGAGCAAAAACTCAGAGGGAAGAAGGATCTGAATTCAGGTCCGGACAGCTCACTGGAGCATGCTGGCCATTTCACCCTGGTGAAAAGCTCAGTGACCATTGGTTAATTTTGTCATTTTACAGTCTGTATCTTAAGGGGTAACCCAAATATTAGTATGAATTAAAATGGAGAGAGGGCAGCAAATCAATTGTAATGCTTAAAAATGCTTTTCTATGTGGCTGGACCATTCAGAAAGGCTACTTTTCATAAATGATTGTATTTGTGTGTGTGTGTGTGTGGTTCTGTGACTTGAGAATTTTTATCTAAAAAACAAGTCAACAGAAATACAAGCTTCTATCAAATGGAAACATTAACATTAAGAGGAGGTAAGCTTTGAGACCCGAGAATATCCATAGCAGTAGCTGATATTATCTGGAATGCCCTTCTGAAGAGCAGGTTTGTGTTGGAAAACTATGTAATATTTTTGATCATGTTGTCCCTTTGCAGCAGCCACAACATTCATTTCCTGTTCAAGGAGGCAGAAGAAAGGCAGCCACAGGCTGGCTTCCCTGTGGGAGGGATGGGCCCCAGGTTCTGACCATGACCTCCTGCATCCCCGGCTCACTGTGTGTGGAGAGCACCTGCATTCTGGCTGCCTGCGCAGCAATCTGGGTGGCCAACCACAAGAAAGGTGGCTGCGAGAGCTTCAGGCTGCCTCCTTGTGCCTGAGGGAGACCAGCACCCCCGCCTCCACCCTACCATGGCTGGCAGGTCCCACAGAAACGGTATTGATCCGAGCTGGGCTGAGGCATGAACGACTTACATTGCTGGCATGTCCTCCATGCTGTCCTCCCTACCTCTTGACATGCCTGCCACAGACTAGCACTGTAAAGAAACTTTCACACCATATCTATACGACATTTATCCCTGCCATGTTGGTGGTTGTAGCAGTCATGCAATATAACCAGTTTTTATATGACCTTCAGTTTTATTGATAACAGTCATGAAAGATCACAGCATTGACTTAATCTATATGAGTGAGATTTCAAAAGGTGCCTAGAAAGCTACAACACTTTTAATGGCACCCATTCCACTCTGAATCAGGCTTTCTCTTACTGAGGAATTTGGCTTTACCCTAAGAAATATTTATCCTGTACCTTTCTGTTCTTTGGCTTCTCAGTTCATCAGTATTAAGAAATTAGGTTTTTCTGGCCGGCGCCGCGGCTCACTAGGCTAATCCTCCGCCTAGCGGCGCCGGCACACCGGGTTCTAGTCCCGGTCGGGGCACCGGATTCTGTCCCGGTTGCCCCTCTTCCAGGCCAGCCCTCTGCTGTGGCCAGGGAGTGCAGTGGAGGATGGCCCAGGTGCTTGGGCCCTGCACCCCATGGGAGACCAGGAAAAGCACCTGACTCCTGGCTCCTGCCATCGGATCAGCGCGGTGCGCCGGCCGCAGCGCGCCGGCCGCGGCGGCCATTGGAGGGTGAACCAACGGCAAAGGAAGACCTTTCTCTCTGTCTCTCTCTCACTGTCCACTCTGCCTGTCAAAAAAAAAAAAAAAAAAAGAAATTAGGTTTTTCTTTGAGGTAGACAATGCCCATGAGGAAAGCTATGTTAAAATGATGACCACCTTATTTAGAACATTTTAAGTCATTAGTAAAACTCCCCCTTTGTTTGGTTTTAAAAGGGAGGTTTTGTCTGTTTACTGTGCCCATGCAAAGTAGATCTAGCTGTGGAAGCGTAATTGAAGCTCTCATTTTGGCTATGCTATTATTACAGAAAAGTGTTAGCCACCCCTTTTATAAGGTCTGAAGATCAAATTGTACATTCTAGAGAGTCCTTCAGAATAGAATTAGTTAGCCATCTTGAAGAAAATAGAGAAATGAGGGAACAAGTCAGGCTTCCCAGATTGCTTACTAACAATAACAAAATCAAATGAAGACTTAGCAAACAATTTTAACTGTTAAATAACAACTTATGAAAGCATTTACCTGAAGGTCCAATGCCTTCTATAAATTTTAAGGTAAGAGTTCACGTATTTGAAAACATCATTTAAACATCTAACACAAGCGTAACTTGTTTGACCAGCAAACCCAAAAACAAACATACCTGTGACTACAGATTTCTAGTTTAGGCTACCAAGGATTAAGGACAGAGCACCTCCTTGACTTGCATTCTCTTAAAGATTTCCTCTGATCTGTTTTAACAAAAACCAGGAGGAAGAGGAAGCTAGGCTGCAGAAGCAATGTAAACATAGGTGGCAGGCCAATTAAGATTTGCCATCAAGTAGACCAAACAGGCCAGTGAGCTTCATTGCTTTATATGGAAAGCTAGGGCTTCGGCAAAAGTCAGCTTTTGAAGGGCCCTGGCAGCTCTGCCAGCCAAGAGTTGGATCACTGGAAATGGACCTGCCCCGGAGTCGAAGGGCTCCAGGCTGGATCGAGAGACCTTTTTTGCTCTAAGCTGAAAAGCCCTTCACTCGGGCCAGCTTCCAAAGTAACCACTGCTGTCGTGGGGATGGACAAGTAGGGCCTACAACATTGCAGGCAGAACTGTATATTAATTAATAATTTTTTTAACTTTTATTTAATGAATATAAATTTCCAAAGTACAGCTTATGGAGTACAATGGATTCCTCCCCCCCCACCATAACGTCCCTCCCACCCACAACCCTCCCCTTTCCTTTTCCCTCTCCCCTTCCATTCACATCAAGATTCATTTTGGTTTCTCTTTATATACAGAAGATCAGTTTAGCATATATTAAGTAAAGATTTCAACAGTTTGCACCCACATAGAAACACAAAGTGAAAAATACTGTTTGAGTACTGGTTATAGCATTAAATAACAATGTACAGCACATTAAGGACAGAGATCCTACATGAGGAGTAAGTGCACAGTGGCTCCTGTTGTTGACTTAACAAATTGACACTCTTGTTTATGGCATCAGTAATCACCCTAGGCTCTTGTCATGAGTTTCCAAGGCTATGGAAGCCTTTTGAGTTCACCGACTCTGATTAATAAATGTTTTCCTTTTAGAAATGCAACCTACCTTCTCTTCAAGCCAGCTCTCCTCCCAGGTCAGCTAGGTAATGAAAGTCAACAGCGTGCCTCCCTTATCATGTACCACATGTAAAGCAATATCAATAGGTCTGAACATCATAACTGACAAGGCCTTGAGGCCCACCTGATTATTTTCAAGCCCTTTCTGTCAGTTTCCATTTGCCTCTCAATGAAAACAACTTGCTCATGGTTCAGACACCTTTCTTAGGGCCTCTAATAATGACTCTGTCCTCGGCTTTAGATCCTATGGGTTTAAACTGCTTGCTAGATTTGTTTTCTCCAGACTCAAAAAAGTAAAATTCTAGGTGGCCATGCACATGAAACCTCCCATAGAAGCAGGTTCTGCGAGCTGGCACTGCAGCCCCCTGGAGAAGCCACCTCCTGCTGGAACCCTGTCTTGACTCCCCTTCCCAAAGATGCCCCTTTCAGCATGAAGCAGCCAGAAGGATCATCACCCAGTTCTCCCAACAGAAGTTAGAGTTTCAGTCTTTGGGAGGTGGGATGTGAAGAGTCAAATGGGTAATAGGTAATCAATGTGGTAGAAATTTGGAATAGCAAGGTGCCTGCTCCCCCCAGAAGGTTAGCTTTAGCAGAACAAAGTATCCTGCTTCCTTAGGAATCTCAAAATTCACAAATTTACCATGGAAATAGCAAGGGAGTGGTGATTTCTCATCTGCCCTTATGGATGATTTTTTAATCATAAGGGAGCCAGACAGGATGGAGAATTGTAAATCAGGTCTTTTGTTGAGTCTGTCTCCACCTTGTTGATAGACAGTTTGGTTCCCAAGATTGTATTTAAAAACCCAAATACTATAGGACCTTTTGGGTTCTTTCCTTCTCTCAAAAGCCCCCTCTATGCCGCTCCAGCTGGAGGTCTTTGATTCTAGTAAATCCTTTTAAATCTCAATAAATATAGCAAATTAGGATGCTGATGTTGAAAATACATATCTCTCCAGTAGCCAAGGTGCATAGCCATATTGAGGTTACAGTGTGTCTCCTAAGAGGCACCGTATCCTTCACGTGATGATTCCACACCCGGGTCTCTGTCATTCACAGCAGAAGTGGCACACAGTAAGACTGACAGGGGGCAGGCCTGACCTTAGAAGGTAAGGCCAGAAGTGTTTCACAGTTGGCTGCATTCTCAGAGCTTGCCACAGCACACGGTGCTGGGCTGCAGCCTCACACCTGCCAGTGTGCTACCTGGGGGACCGTGCCACACTTGGGACTCTCCTGAGAGCACTTGAGGACTTTTGCTCGCGCCCACCAC